TATTTCTGTCTTGTTGACTTGGTACAGGTTTTACTATTTTTTTTTCAGATATTTTATGAAGGTTCTTGACTTATAGCTTGGTTAACCTTCTGTGTTGATGTGCAAGATGTGTTTCTTACTGGTTTATTATATTGTGGCAATATCACTTGGGATTTCTCTGGGTTTTTCCGTACTCTAAGACTGTGTACATCATATAGTATGAGTTTGTATTTGGCGGGACTTTTGGGTTTCAGTAGAAGTGAGGATAATACATTGTATTTTAAACACACACACACACACACACACACACACACACACACACACACACACACACACACACACACACACACACACACTCACAAACAAACAAACAAACACACACACACACACACACACACACACACACACACACACACACACACACACACACACACACACACACACACACACACACACACACACACACTCACAAACAAACAAACAAACAAACACACACAAACACACACAAACACACACACACACACACACACACACACACACACACACACACACACACACACACACACACACACACACACACACACACACACACACACTCACAAACAAACAAACAAACAAACAAACAAACACACACAAACACACACATCTACACACACACATACACACACACACACACACACACACACACACACACACACACACACACACACACACACACACACACACACACACACACACACTCACAAACAAACAAACAAACAAACACACACAAACACACACAAACACACACAAACACACACACACACACACACACACACACTCACAAACAAACAAACAAACAAACAAACAAACACACACAAACACACAAACACACACAAACACACACACACACACACACACACACACACACACACACACACACACACACACACACACACACACACACACACAAAATGTGTTTGTTTACATAAATTATCCGCAGTCATATCAGTTATGACCTATATCTGGTTACATAGTTTTAAAAAGAAAGCATAAATGGATAAAACATCCTATTACGATTGAGGACTCGCAGTCAAAATCTGTAGTCATAGACGAAACCCAAAACGCCGGGCAAATACCTTTACTTCTCCACCCCTGTGCCCCCCCACCCCCACCCCCGACTGAGTGTCCCCCCCCCCCCCCCTTACCGGAGCATTTTGACTGAACCTTGTCCCCCCCGCGCCAGGAACCGGGAGCAAGCGGTCGTCCACACACGGCAGTCCCTATGGTAAGGCGTCGGCGGCATGTGCACACCCTGTATACATGCATGTGTAAATAATGTGATGTTGATTTTCTTTCTTTCTTTCCTTCTTTTTCTTTCCTTCTTTTTCTTTCTTTCTTTTTCTTCTTTTTTGTCTTTCTTTCCTCGTTGCTGTCGTCGTCGTCGTCGTCGAGTGCTGCTGTGAATGGCGGTCTTCAAGTTGTCTTTGCATGTTTTGATTTTTGCAATTGCTTTATTTCTTTAAGCCGTTTCAGAACTGAACAGAAGTGACATTTTTTTTTGTAATATGATTTGTATTTACTCTTTGTTTTGATATGATTACGCTGCTTTGTAGATTTTCTTTTGATGATATGAGTGAATTATGAATTAGCGATGATATATTTTTGATTAAGGTTGCGAAGAGTGTGTAGTTGCTTCTACGGGCTGGAAGAAAATATATTTCTAAAGGCATTTATTTTTGATGCATGCGCCAGTGAGTACCGTGATTTTTTTTTTTTTTTTTTTAATAATCTGTTCCGCAGTTTTATTGGCATGATTTCTAGGTAGTTTTATCAGTTGGTAAGTTGTTTTTTTTATCAGCGGTGATTTAAAAGTTGTCTTGCGGTTTGACGGAAATTAATGTAGATTTTCTCTTGCCGAAGATTAGATAGCCCTTTTGTGTTGGCTAATTGTGTTTAAGGCGAGTTCCAGCGTGGTAGAGTTTTTGTTTCCTATTGGCTTTTTGGCTGGATTTCTGGTTTTGTGGCGGACGGTTGCTGACGACGCCGCTGCATGGATGGGCGCCACGAGGTTCCGTCCGTTTGGCTTCTTAAGGAAATCGCAGATGGCTTTCTTGCAATTTTGTATTTTGTTGTATGAATTGGCGAACGTTTTCGCACATTTGCTTGGCCTATATTTCTTTTTTTTTCAGATGCATTGCTCTGTGTGTTTTTTTATGTATTCCACTGCTGATAGATTTTAATGTAGATTTTTTTATCACAATATTGTATCTTCCATGTATTTATGTATGGTTAACGAATGAGAAGGAAACTTTGAGCTAAACCACAGGATATTTACATATTTATCGCAATATTGTATCTTCCATGTATTTTTGTATGATCGACGAATGAGAAGGAAACTTTGAGCTAAACCACAGGATTTTAGTCTTAGTCAAGGAGAATGGTTTCCCTGTCGAGTCCTGCAATAACTTTCTTATCTTTCCCATTATCCTTTCCATAACTTCGTCACAAAACTTCCCAGAAAAATGATCTCAAGAACCCCTTCTGCAAACGACGACCCCCCCCCCCCCCTTCAAAAAAAAAAAAATAAAATAAAAAATAAAGATAAAAAAGACCAACGTTAAGTCCTGTTATCTCCCCGTCTGGTTTCCTGCTGGCTCTCCGTAGCATTCGTAAATAAAGATAATAATAAAAAAAAAAAAAATCAACTAACCCTTGGTGTGTCTGTGGCGCAGGCGGCGACCCCCCCGACCTGCTGGACGTGGCGGCGACGACGGAGGGCGAGGCCATGCCCGTCATCCGCAAGAAGGAGCGCGACTACATGGGCATGTTCGAGTACGACCGCCGCGACGAGATGCAGATCATTCGGGTGCTGATTTACGGTACGTGCGGGCGTGTTTCAGGGGACGGGTGTGTGTGTGTGTTTGTTTGTGTGTGTGTGTGTGTTTGTGTTTGTTTGTGTGTGTTTGTGTGTGTGTGTGTTTGTGTGTGTGTGTTTGTGTGTGTGTGTGTGTGTGTTTGTGTATGTGTATGTGTATGTGTATGTGTATGTGTATGTGTGTGTGTGTGTGTGTGTGTGTGTGTGTGTGTGTGTGTGTGTGTGTGTGTGGGCGCGTGCGTGCGTACAGGCGTATGTGCGTGTGTGTGTGCCTGCGTGTGTGCATGCGTGCGTGCGTGTGTGCGTGCGTGCGTATGTGTGTGTGTGTGTGTGTGTGTGTGCGCGCGCGCGCGCGCTTGTGCGCTTGCGTACGTGCGTGCTATTGTTTTTCTCAATGATGCCTGTTTATTTGAGTACACGCTTGCCCCATGAAACCCCTGACCAAAGCCGGCCCTCCCCCACAGAGCTGAAGCCGCGCGTGGCGGTGACCTTCCTGCCCGGCCTGCCCGCCTACATCCTGTTCATGTGCATCCGCCACACGGACCACATCAACGACGACGAGAAGGTGCGCTCGCTGCTCAACAACATCGTGAACGGCGTGAAGCGCGTGATCAAGAAGCGCCACGAGGACCTGGACTCCACCGTGCTGTGGCTGTCCAACACGCTGCGCCTGCTGCACAACCTCAAGCAGTACTCGGGCGACAAGGCGTTCCAGGCCGAGAACACCGTCAAGCAGAACGAGCAGTCGCTCAAGAACTTCGACCTGTCCGAGTACAGGCAGGTGCTCTCCGACATCGCCGTCTGGATTTACAATGTGAGTCTCTCGCTCTCTCTCTCGCTCTCTCTCGCTCTCTCTCGCTCTCTCTCGCTCTCTCTCGCTCTCTCTCGCTCTCTCTCTCTCGCTCTCTCTCTCGCTCTCTCTCTCGCTCTCTCTCTCGCTCTCTCTCGCTCTCTCTCGCTCTCTCTCGCTCTCTTTCGCTCTCTTTCGCTCTCTTTCGCTCTCTTTCGCTCTCTCGCTCTCTCGCTCTCTCTCTCTCTCTCTCTCTCTCTCTCTCTCTCTCTCTCTCTCTCTCTCTCTCTCTCTCTCTCTCTCTCTCTCTCTCTCTCTCTCTCTCTCTCTCGCTCTCTCTCTCTCTCTCTCTCTCTCTCTCTCTCTCTCTCTCTCTCTCTCTCTCTCTCTCTCTCTCTCTCTCTCTCTCTCTCTCTCTCTTTCTTTCTTTCTTTCTTAACTGTCTTCTCTCTGCCCAGATCCCTGTCCATAATCACAATATTTTCTGAATATATGATATATTACCAATATGACACACTATTCAATCGCCATTCACAAACTCCGTAGACAATAAAAGAAATAGATAATACAGATAAAAGCATAACTGCACACTAACGTCATCTCCCCCCCCCCCTACAGGGTGTCATAAAACTGATGGAGGAGAAGGTCCAGCCGCTGATCGTGCCGTCGATACTCGAACACGAAGCCATCGCCGGTCTCTCGGGCAACAAGCCGGGCGGGATGAGAGGTGAGTCAGGGGGGGAAGGGAAGGGAAGGGAAGGGAAGGGGGGGGAAGGGATTGGGTTTTGAAGGGGGGAAGGAGGGGACTGGGATGGGATGGGAAGAGGGAAAGGAGAAGGGAAAGGGAAAGGGAAAGGGAAAGGGAAAGGGAAAGGGAAAGGGAAAGGGAAAGGGAAAGGGAAAGGGAAAGGAAGGACAAGGAAGGAGGGACAAGGAAGGAGGGACAAGGAAGGAGGGACAAGGAGGGAGGGGTAAGGGAGGGAGGAGGGGGTAGGAAGGGTGTAAGGGAGGGAGGGACAGGCGGAGGGAAGGAAAAGAGGGAGGAGTGGGGAACGAGGAAAGGAAAAGGGGTGAGTGCTTAGATATCAAGGAGGCTGACCATGGCGATGATTTACATAATTAATTTTAATGTTATCGGGGCATCGGGTAGTAAGCTCCTCGTGCACGTATTTCAAAGAAGTTACGAAAAAGAATAAAGATGATATGGAATGTAGAATATTACAAATAAACTGAATGTAGTGTATGGTAAAGCAATTGTGTTTTAGCAAGTAAGTGCTGTGCAACGTCTAATGACCAATCTTGCGCTGCTCAGGCCGTGCCGGCAGCGTAGCCCGCGAGCTGGAATCGCCCGTGGAGCCCCAGAAGGCCCTCGATCTGCTCCTGAAGGAGATGACGCAGTTCTACCGCACGCTCGCTATGTTCGGCACCGACCCCGAGCTCATCACGCAGGTGTTCAGACAGGTAAGGCGCGTGGGCGGGCGTGGGCGGGCGTGGGCGGGCGGAGGGAGAAGCCCGGAGGTGGTCTTTGCTGAAAGGGGGAGGCTTTCGTACTGGAGATGGAAGGCTCTTGTTTGAGGGACAAATGAAACACTATGTGCGAAAATGTGTGTGTATGTGTGTGTGTGTGTGTGTATGTGTGTGTGTATGTGTGTGTGTATGTGTGTGTGTATGTGTGTGTGTGTGCGTGTGCGTGTGCGTGTGCGTGTGCGTGTGCGTGTGCGTGTGCGTGTGCGTGTGCGTGTGCGTGTGCGTATGTGTATGTGTATGTGTATGTGTATGTGTATGTGTATGTGTATGTGTATGTGTGTGTGTATGTGTGTGTGTGTGTGTGTGTGTGTGTGTGTGTGTGTGTGTGTGTGTGTGTGTGTGTGTGTGTGTGTGTGTGTGTGTGTGTGTGTGTGTGTGTGTTTGTGTTTGTTTGTTTATGCTTATATGTTTGTGTGTGTGTGTGTGTGTGTGTGTGTTTATGTCTATGTTTATCTTAGAGACGAGGGAAAGTTTAGAGCCTTTCACATTATTTGCATCATTGCACCAAATGTTCATTTAATTTGGAGCTTTGTCGCGACTCGTAGCCAGCCTCGAGAGCTTCAGCACCCCGCCCACTGAACCTTTCTTGCAGATCTTCTACTTCATCTGCGCGGGGTCGCTGAACAACCTGCTGCTGCGCAAGGACATGTGCCACTGGTCCAAGGGCATGCAGATCCGCTACAACCTGAGCCACCTGGAGCAGTGGACGCGCGACATGCGGCTGCACGAGGCGGGCGTCACGGACACGCTAGCGCCCATCATCCAGGCGGCGCAGCTCTTGCAGGCGCGCAAGACGGACGACGACGTCAACTCCATCTGCGACATGTGCGACAAGCTCTCCGTCTCGCAGGTGGGTGCCGCCAAGAGGCCAGGGGCGCCGCGATGTTATTACTATTTGTTGTTATTATTGTTGCAGTTATTATTTTATTAGTAGTAGTATTATCATGGTTATTGTTGTTATTAGGGTTAGTGTTTTTATTATTGTTAGTGGTTTTTATCATTGTTATTTTTGTTTTTATTACTTGTACTTGATTACTTTTTTGTATTTAGCTGAAAAAATTTGATGTATGATTATTGGATCCTTTGTTAAAGGAAAGCTCTTTTTATTAATAGATCAAATATATGTGTGAATCATATTATTTATAGCTTATTTGCTTTAATTATCATTTGAAACTTGCAGATTCTATCTTCACATTCATGACACTAACCGTTTTCCTTTGTCACCCTGCAACAGATCATCAAGATTTTGAACCTGTACACGCCGGCGGATGAATTTGAAGAGCGAGTCCCCATCTCCTTCATCCACAAGATCCAGAATAAGTTGCAGGAACGAGCGGAGGGAGAGCAAGCGCAGGTGAGTCAGGTGGTTAATCTAGCGTCAGGCTGGGCGTGTTTTGCAGTTGTAGGGAGACTTTTACATGGAGAAGTTTGTATATTTTGGGACTGTGTGCATTGATTTGTTTATGAGATGGAGATTGGTAAGAAAGATGTGTTATTCATTAATGACTTGATTTCAAGAGGTAAAGGAAGAGGTGGTGTGGAGGTGTTTGCATCTTTACATAACAGAAGTGCCTACTTTTGTGGAAATTTAGTGAAAGATGATACTGCAGAGAGAGAACCTAGTTTTGAAGATGAACATGCATTAGTGAGAGTAATATTTACTAATTTTTTTTCCATTCATTTTTTTCAGGCAACACTCTTGATGAACACCAAATTTGCCTTCCCTGTCCGGTTCCCATTCAACCCATCCAGTATTCACTTGGAAGATATTGAGCTTCCAGAGTCTCTCAACCTCATCATGTTGAAGAAGGTCTAAGCGACCCCCAGTCACCAACTCCACACACATGAGAATGAAACGACCTCATGGGAAAATAAAGGCTTATACTTTGTCCTTTCCAAGTCAGTCCAGCATAGTCGTTTGAGATGCTGAGGTTGTAGGCAGAGGAGACGCAAAACGAAGGGTTTCCCAGTGAGTGTGTGAAGTCAGTGGGATGGAGTCTGGCCCTGTTGCATGTTCTGTTTCGATGGCTGAGACTGCTTAAAGGCAAGGACGGCCCTTTTTCCAGATCTGTGCTGAGTCAGGGCCACCAAGGACTGGATTTTGAAACTTGTTAAGAGTTTCAGGGATAGTTTCCAAATTTTAAAAAGCAGATTGTAGCTCAATAGCATTTACTTGCAGTACTTAAACCTGATGGCTTTCAGAATGGTTACATTTGTATTGTGCTTGTGTTGGTACATGTAATGTAATGAAGAAAAAAGAAAGAAAGAAGAGAATTCGTTCTGGCTACAACACCCTTGCTTATAATCAGTTTGACTTTTGGTTGAGACATATCTGGCAGTACGGATGGTTGTATGGGGTGGGCTTTCCAGATGCTTGACATTTGTTTGTATTATATAGATTTCTCTTTCTCTGTGTCCAGAAACAGGATGAACTCGCCCCATCAAAAGAAAACATTGGTATTAAACACCCCAAAATATATCCTACTGCAGCCTTAGAATAAAAAAAAAAAGTATTTTTGTTCGTACATGTAATTTTTAAACCGGTAAAAAACCTCCTCACAAGAATTGCATGGACACCCCACTTTGGGTGACTCGAGGAAAGATTAAAATGAAATACTATATGATATATACATTCCATGAGCATATTCCAGTGATAAATAGCATTCCTGTATTTAGGACCAGTCACAGTACCTAAGACAGCACCATTGTATATTTACTTTGTGCAGCACGAAGCAGCAAAGAACAGTTACTGTGTGTATAACTGTTTTAACTTTGGTTCTAGTGTGTTGTAAACAGTTGATGCTGTAGCACTCTAAACACATTCCATGACCTCTAGTTGAACATTACTGTAGTGTAATATATGGTTAATAGTGTTATTTATTTATTGTATAGATGTTCAGAGTTTAACATATGGCATAGTTCATATATTGTAAGATTTCCATAGACTATCCTGATATCAGAAGGAGAGAAGAATGATGGATGAATTGGTTTATGGTGTAATTATTGATATTTATTTTATAACAGTTAGGGGTATTAATATCAATATTATTATTATTATTATCATTATTAGTATTATTATTGTTATTATTGTTATTATTATTATTATTATTATTATTATTATTATTGTTATTATATTATTATTATTACTGATCATCATTAAAACTATTACAGTTATGATTATTATTATTATATTTTTTATTCTCATCATCATTGATACTTCAGCCAATAACTTAACAATTAACAAGACTAATATTTTTATTTTTGTACAGTTTTATTTTCTTGTACTTAATTAAATTACAGCACATTCCAAAGGGATCTATTTGTCATAATTTCAATGGCTAATAAAAAGATGTAATTTTCTGCATCTCACTTAGTCCAAAATTTGCATTGCTTATCATACAAAGTTTTTGTTGCATACCTCAAATATTTTTTACAATAAGTACATAGGAAAATGATAAACTTTTTTTTTCTGTAAACATATAATCAACATTGGGCAGAAATTCCAGTGAAGCCCCATCCAAAATCCCAAGTCCTCAAGTTTTGCATGCTTTGTGTATATATCATACATTTTCTGGAAGGGTGAATATTCTAGCATTTAGGGTACCCCACGAGGGCTGTTATTTGGTTTCAAAGAGGGTGGGATTCTAACTTTGGCTTTCGAATGCTGTCAATTTGCCAGGCTGTGGTAGGTAGTAGCGGAAGTAGTTTGACAGATTTTGACCCCAGGTTAGGAAGCCGTCTGCGAAATGAGAACAGCGTTAGTATTTGGGTACACTCACCCTATACTGTATCATATGCACGATTAGCATCATCACATGCTTGTATACTGGTTCAGGTGTACAGTGTGACCATAGTTACTCTATATTAACTTGTGTGGTGCAGAAGCTATTATGTAGCTTTACTTTCATGGTTCTGTATAGCAGACACTGGCTGCTATTATATCATTATTATTATTATTTATGCTACAATTGTTTTTTGATCATTATGAAATATGATTTATTATTATGATTACCAATAGTTTTTGAGGCCTTTTTTATACCATTTTTTATGTTTGCTTGTTAGCCCAGATAAATAAAAATATTTCTTGATCAGTGCCAGGTACTCCTTGGTGGGGATGATATAGGCCTCAGTGACTTAATTTTGAGTAGTGACATTAAGTTATTGAGATATTTATTTGTGGTTTCTGACACTGCAAAGTAGGTGCCACTTTAAAGGGTTTTTTATTGTGTGGAAAGAGATGCCAGTTACTTAATGCACAGCAGGACAGGTAATTGAGGTGCCACATAGATTGTTTGTGAAGAAGAGATAACTTTGTAATGAAAATTGTGATCATGGCCGACATATTTATTGAATTTAAAGTCACTGGTTTGAATTGAAGATCGTCTGTTTTGTATTTTAATCCTCTTTTTTCTTTTTATATGCATAATGTAAACAAGATGGTATAAATCATTATGTCACAGAATGCTTGGTTGTTGTTTTTTTTTCCTTTTTTTTTTGTAGTGCATACAAGTATACTATGATATTTTTGTTCTGTAAGCTTCCTTTTTAATGTATTTTGTATGATAAAAACGTAGAAAGGCAAAAGGCTGTTTTCAGTGTGTTTTTATTTCTGCTGAATGATTTTCATTGTATATAGGTAAGATCTGATTTTCACCAGTGTTAACTTTATTGTGTGTTGCCTTGTGATTAAGAAAAGAATGTTGATTCAAAGTAAATAAATGCAGACATGTTATTAGAGATTTTTATTATAATTTTCCCTAAAGCAGTTGTCCCACGAGTTCTGTCAAATATTTATAAGCATGAGAAGATAAATAGTTCTGAGTAAAAAGTCTTCTACTTGGTTACTGCAAGCATAAGGTGTAAGCATTGGTTGATCTGTGGTCCTGCCAGCTATTCACTGTTCTCAGGCACAAGGATCTTACAAAAAGCATTAAGACGAAATTCGAAGGCACCGGATAGCAAAGCCGGCAGTATCAAAGCCTTGAAGGTGTATAAATTGCACCTTCTTCAGATACTGGTATCTCTAAATACTTTTGCCGAGCAAGTTCATGGCACCTGCTGCCAGGCCAGTCCATCTGCTGTTTGCCCAGTCATGAACTACAAGGTATATAATGCTATTTGACCTTTCAACCTAAGTCGATAGAATTCTGGAGATTGGTGTAGGCTGCAAGCAGCCCAAGACTGAACTGTCAACAGTACTCTACAGTGACTCAAAGTGCCAGGATATGGTATATTATGGACTTGTCAAGAGTAAATCCAGTTTACTCTGGCCTCTTGTGCCTCAGTAGGTGATCTCTGATATGTTTCAGAAAACTGAGTGAGAACCTAGTTTGGTATGCTGAGCAGTGTGATGCCATGGTAAGTGCTCAGTCCTCACGATCCCCCTTCCCCTTTCCATTTAGCTGTTGGTAGATCCAGCTGGTAAATTGCTCAAACTACTCAGCCCAACTTTCATGTATCCCAACACAATCTGAGAGGATCTGTAGCCTTGATTCTCCTGTGAGATTAAATTCTGCCGTGCACTTGGGCAGTTGCCATTGGACCTGGGAATGGAATCGGAATCCAGGTAGATTCTGAAACTGTAGTCTCACCTTCAATAAATCTAGTTTTACATTGTAGGTTTTTCTACTATAGTATCAACACGGTAGAGTGTTTTACCATACCCATACATAAATCATATATATGTATATATATATATATTTACACATACATACATTTGCCAATTTATTTTTTTCTCTTAATATCATTTGATTATTTGAACTGCAACATAACAATCCAGTGCCAAATTTGGTATATATTTTCCTATTCTCTTTGTTGAATTTCCTATTATTAATATTTGCAAAGTGAAAAGAGAAGGAGAAAAAGAAGGAGAAAAGAATGTATGAAGCCAGAGAACACGCAGAGAAGACTACAAGACATCAAAAATAGTTTTAAACGTAAATTTTTTTTCTTATGCTTCGGAAGACAAATCTCGCAATTCATTCATGGTGTTAATAAAATAAACTTGTGCACTGTGAACTTTTATTTTCAAGACTGCTACTTTTGTACAATGTTTATGTATTTATAGATATTATTGTGATATGTCTAACTTTGTGCAAACCAGTTTCATTCCATTGTCTCGTTACTTTTGGGGAAAGCGTGAATTCCCAAAACGCGGAGAGAGAATCATAAGTCCATTTTTATTATTATATCTTACGAAGATTCAAGCAAGTACTTCATGGAGAATTTGAAGGAAAAGTAAAAGAATGGGAAAAGTACATTTCAGATGATTTCCCATTACAAAAAATAAAAAATAAAAAAGGAAATGCAATACATATATTGCCTGTGAGATTTACCAAAGGAACTTTTTGAATGACAGACCTCACCAATTCTCCTGTTGCTCCAAGAAAGACATGTTCACAATATATTACTGAAATCCACTAGCTGGCAATAACTCTTTGAAAACATAAAATCATATTCAGTCAAGCCCTACACTGACTCTATAAGTTCAATAACAGATGATTAATAAAACACTGCTGCCTGTCAAAACATGTCTGTTTCTCCTCTGTACTATCTCTATAACATGTATTACCTTTTGTAAGATTTAATTTACCTCTATATAACTCCAGTACAAATCACAGACTATATCATACAAAAAAAGGAATCAGGGTTATTGCTATAAACTGTATCTCTTCTTTAATCATATCACTATCACTTTTAGAAACCATCAACATCAGTTCATAATTATATTATCATACATGGTTATAACTGTAGCTCTCACCACTGCCCAGCTGAAGCAAATGGCGACGCTTTTGATTTGTTTTCCTTGTCATTTTCCCGACAAAAGACAAGTGGACACTTTGTTTCTGAGGTAACTTTTTGACAGAGATATGCCATGCTTTGTTTCCTAGCCTGCTAGATGTTTGCTTAGCCTCGAGCAGAGAGCATCCTATGTCCTGCTTAAGGATCTACTCCAAACTCTAACAGGCACTGAGAAACAAGGCATATCTGTATAAATGTATTATTCTCATGTATAAACATGGCTAACAATAAAACCTGAAATTAAGTAGACTAGTACGTACACAATAAAAATCTTATATACAGAAAACTTAATAGTAAACAACCAAATTTTTTATGTATATATATATATATATATATATATATATATATATATATATATATATATATATATATATATATTGTAACTACATACTACTTCCATAGAAAGGATATTTAATATGAGTTCAGTTAGAAAATGTATAAATTTTGTGCTGTAGATAGATAATCTTTAAAATAATTTAATTATACATTAATAGTTCACTATTAAATTGTGGCTTTATATATGTATATGTATATATATATGTATATACATATATATAGATATAGATATGTATATATATAGATATAGATATATATATAAACAATCATGATAATATGATTTTTTTTTCATGAAATGAGCAATACCTTATTTGTCACAGTGCAAAAAATGAGCCTATTTTAGCAAAGACATTAGTGCATCATAAATTATAGTTGTGCATCCAATTCCTAATCACTTTTTTTCAATTTCCATTCAAAAAATGTATAAATCTTTTTGACTTCTTGCTGAACAGGGCAATACAGCCTAAGTAGAAAAGAGAGAGAGAAGGACAAAGACAGTTAAAGAACGAGAAGACAAAGAACTAAAAATAAAGGGTAAAATACATATACATTCTGGCAAGCAAACCTCAACAAGATTTTTTTTTTTTTTTTTTTGAAATCTAAAACACGCAAGCACATGACATTCATCAGGACATATTTGCTCTTATCGGTTTACAAAAGAATCTGAAAGCACAAACACTGCTGAAGTCTGAAGCAAAGAAAAACCTTGGTGGAGAAGATGCTTGCCAAAATCCGCTCGACTCAATTAATGCCGTTCAATTGAATCCATCTATTTACATGTGCAAAAAGCATTAGCGTCAACTATTCGGAAGACTACCCATAAAAGCTTGAATGAAAAGTGTATCAATAAAACATCGATAGCAATCCTATCAACATTCAAACATTTGCATATCGTATGCAACAACCACTATACATATATATATAAAGCTTTACTGATTGTATCCCTAAAATATAATATTATTATCATTACTAAAACTCTCAAATTTCTAAAACTGCTTTCAAAAGGAATAAAAGGTGTATATTTTTTGAATATTTAAACACTAATCAACTATCACTTTCTTTTGTATATCATATGAAAAAAAAAAAAAAAAAAAAAAAATCTAAATAAACTTAATTTTTTTTCCTTATAGTCCTAATGTGCAAAAATAGTTACCAATAAAAAACTCTCCACAAGCACAACATATGAAATTAAAACTTAAAGATTAGCTCAAAGGCTATGGAAAAAAACAGAGATCAAGATTGACAGTAATATTACTAAACAAACAATTGTAAAAAATAAGTATTTTACTTTGGTTATTATATATCTGAATCAAAGTTACCTTAAAATAAAGTAAGTTATTAGTATTGACTTTGGATATTCTGAGTTTTATTTTAGTTTTGATTATCATAGTGTAAAAAGAAAGAGTGGAAATGGGAGAGAGGGAGAGAGGGAGAGAAGGGGAGAGAAAAAAGGGAAAGAGGGAGATAGGGGGGAGGGGGGAGGGGGGAGGGAGAAAGGGAGAGAGGGAAAGAAGGGGGAAGGGGAAGGAGAGAGAGAAAGAGGGAGAGAGGGAGAGAGGTAGAGAGGGGGAGAAGGGGAGAAGGAGAGAGAGAAATTCTCCCATTTTTGTAACTCCACAGCAAATTTCTCAGACAACTTGTACTACCATGTGGAAATTCTCTATATTTCATCCTATTCAAAATATAGACACTGATATATGGGAAATGCTTACAACAATAAAATAAAGCTATCGGCATGCACAGACTCAAACATGTTTACTAAGAATTATATTCTTGAAAATTTAAAAAGGTGGTAAAAATAGCAATAGACTAATCAAAAACTAGAAAAATTAGACTTTTTCCAATAAACCTGTTTTCTTTGTGGTATATTCATAACCATGATATCAGCATGGTGGTGTTTTTGCCACTCAGAGGCATAATAAACTAAAAAAGAAAATATTATCATTTCTTTGTCTTACATCAATACCAACAAGCATATCAACTCTTATTACAAAATGGGATTTTCTCTTTATATCAAAATGCAAATGCTTTCTTGTTAGACAAATTTAGGTCATAGAAATGTGGCTAAATAAGTGAGTTCGAGATTTGTTACATAAAGAAAATTATTAGTGAGTGTATCACATCTTTGCATAATATATTTTCTATTTTTTTTTTTTATAAACCTGAGAAAATATAGCAATAAAAAAGTGACCATAATTCCCTCACCTGGAAAAAAAGGAGATATATATATATACATAAATATTCAGGAATGCTTTTTCTAGCCTTATTCTATGTATTAAGAAACACAAGATATAAAATTAGAAAAGGGAAAACTGGAGTAATTAAAGCCTTAAATGATAACACATACATATGAATGACTATTATGATTTTTTGGTATTATTCAAATAATGCCCACAACAGGAATACTGCAAACATAAGCAGAGACTATCAGAAAGTGCAAAAGTACTTCTGATTTTTTTATACAACAATATAATATAATAATATAACATATACATTCATACAGGCATACATTATATATATATATATATATAAATATATATAAATATATATAAATATATATAAATATATATAAATATATATAAATATATATATATATATATATATATATATATATATATATATATATATATATATATATATATATATATATATACATATATATAAATATATATATATAAATATATATATATAAATATATATATATACATAT